CTGGTCCAGCAATCCTTGAATTCAATGCGGAAGAACTCATGAAAGCTGGGTTTAAAATGGGACCAGCTAAACAAATCGAGCGATGGATTAGAGATATTAAGGGTGGGGATCAGGGTAAGTAGTACCACGACTGCATTCGAATATTCCAAACCTATACTGCTTTCTCCGCAATAATTTCATTAACTTGTGCCTCATACGTTCATTCTTGTTAAATAGCTACGACTGCGTCAAATCAGGAGATTCAAGAATTGAAGGAAAAGCTAGCAATGCTACAGAGGGGTAAAAAAGGTAAGTAGCATGAATATCTCTGACTCTATTAGTATTTTCTCACTTCATTAATTGAGAACTTTGATATATCATTTACGTTGACTAATGTACTGTTTTTATTTTAGTTACTTTATACTTCCAGTACCATAATTCAAAAGTTATAAGTTTCAGTACCGATGGTTGGGAAGATCTTACTCAGTTACATGGCCGTTTGAAAGAAGCATTCAATCATCTCGAAGGCACTCTGGACCTTTATAAATATGTTATTGATAATAGAGAAATAAATATTAGTTTACCAAAAGAGGAATTTATCGCTTTCATTGAAATGTACAAGTGTTCGGACAACAATCCAATCAAAATTATTGACTTAAGGAAAGGTATGATATCTCAATTATTGGCTGATTGCAAATGTTCTGAGCTAACGCAATTTCGCTTACAGGTGTTAAAAGATCATATTTTGAAATGTTGAATGATTTACCAACAGCATCAGAACTTGGAAAACCTACAGAGTTTTTTAAGCGACAACAGACAACTAACTTTATTTGCCGTAATAGTCGTCCACCAAGCGCCTATAGCTCTATACCTGTTACCCTATTTTGCCCGATTTTTGGCCAATTTAAGGATTTCTGTAAGGAAGATCCAGAAAGAATGGACAATTATTTCACCTATAGGTTTTGTTGTGAAATGGCAAAATTTTATGAAAACGAGGAAGCGCGTAAAAGAGTCGCAAATGAAATGTTATCTGAATATTTTGATCGTTCCGTGCAACCAATTGAACTCCTTGCCAATAAAAACACCGGTGGTAATCCCACTATTGATGGCACTATAAGCTTTTCTGGTCCTTATGCGTATCGTGAGCTTAATGTGGAATACAAGTGTGAGCTCTGTTCTTCCGGTGCCTGCCCTCATCTCGAAAATTGTGGATATTATTTAACTTTCTGTAGGGAACAAGAAAACCGTCCTTCTTGTCATGTGACTAATTTTCCGTGCTTTTTAGTCGTGATTGCAGGTATGGCATAGATTTAACTTGGTATATTTTTGTCGGAATTTATGAATGACTTTGATTGCATTTTAGGACCTTATTTTTCCGTTTCCGGTGCTGTGCTTTCAGATAAAGCTATAGTTTTGATCCACTTACCCCATTATATCCTCTTGCTTGGCATAAAGATGATGAAATAAAATTATCAATTTCTCGAACATTTCGTGCCTTGAAGAAATCTCTTCGACTTCTCGATCAATATTATGCAGAAGTTGATAAACTAGTTCGACAAATTCCCCAAACCTCCAACCCTGAGCATCCTTCATTTCCCGAAGTGATTATTGGCGACAAATATTATAAAGTTCAAATTGAAAAACATATTGTCAATTGTCTTTGGAAAGTTACACTCTCGAACGAGAAAGGACCATGTGAGAAAGCCTATGTAAAAGCTGTTCAAAAACATAAATATTCACTTGATGCGCACCAACTCTTAGCAAAAATTGGATATGCCCCGAAAGTCCTAGCTACTTCATTTATTCCTGGAAATTGGCTTTTGATTTATATGGAATATTTGGACAATCACTTAATGCTAAGTCGTGTCACCAATAACCTTAACGGCCGAGATAATTTAAAAGAGAAAATTGAAATGGTGGTTAAATATATGCATAATTCAGAATATGTACATGGGGACTTGCGTGAAGGGAATATTCTATTTTGTCATCTTGAAAACAGCGAATTTGATGTGAAATTAATCGATTTTGAATGGTCTGGAAAGGTTGGTTCCGCACGTTATTCTCACTTTATGAATCATGAAAATGTACAATGGCCAGATGGGGCGGAAGATGGGAAATTAGTAACAAAAACTCACGATCTTACTATGTTGAATCAGACGCTTTGGAGAACAGGCTTATTGCAAGATAATGAAATTTATTAAGCATAGATGAATGTAACCTAATATTTGTTAATCTTAGCATAATCTTAGCATGTATTGTTATTAATGAAAAAAAATAGTAATCACATTTTTTGTATTATTGGAATTTGATTTGGCAATTATCAATAAAGCTAGCCCTGGTGGCTGATTTCGCATACATAATCAGTTTACTTTTGCATGTGTATTTCGTGGATTTATTTATTGTATTGTTATAAACGTATATTAACTCACATACGATCGAAAATTTTTTGATAGAGCGTGAAATGTTTTCACGCAGTCATTGAATTTTATGTGAAGTGATAGAGTGTGAAATATTTTCGCGCAGTCATGTAATCGAGGATTTTATTTTTTATTTGTTCACGTAGCATGTATTTCTGTTTTCATCATATAAAAAAATTTATATCTCCTCAATAAAGAATTGAATATATCCGTATTTTATATAAAAAAATGGCAAATACACAATCTAAAGATGATTCATTGAGAGAATTGAATTACAGACTTGTAGCCGAGATTACTGAAATTAAAAAGAAATATGCTGAGGTTGAAGCTGAAAATGCTTCGCTTAGAAATAAAAATGCTGATTTCTTGGCTAAGGAAACGGGGCTTTTGGCTAGAATCATGGAATTGGAACAATCTGCAAAAGAGAATGAAAATAACACGAAGTTAAGAGATGCTGAAATCAATGAGCTTAGATCCAGAATTTCGAAATTAGAACAGATGCAGTTGCAAAACAACACTGTAGATAGATTAGACGTCAGAGTTAATTCTTCTGAGAATATCGTTAATAGATTCGATCTTGTTATAAACCAGTGCATTGATACTAACTCCAAATTATTAACAGATGATACTAAGGAAATCAATCATTCCTCGGTTAATATTACCCCTTGTGAGAAACGGAGCACTATTTATACAGACATAACGAACTCTGGTGATACTTCTAAACAGATAGAAAATAGTTCCGACAATATATCCGATTTTGATATATGCCAGGAAAAGGATAGCCAATCTTCTGCATATCCTATTCTCCCTGAAACAAATTCTAGCGATACTTATGAGCAGACGGTCTTGCAAAATGAGGAGGCTCCAGCATCTGATATATCTGGCAACACTTCAAATTCTGATGTGATCAGGAAGAGATGAAGTCTCGAATCTCTGCATTACCTATCAGCACAGAGACCAAATTGTTAAAAGATAAAGATATAGATGATTTCTTGGAAATGCAGAGAAAAGAAAACATTAGTAACACAATAAAAGAAAGAAAACGGGAAAAGAAATTTCAAGACTCTAGCTCTAATTTATCAGAACAGTCCTCTTTAGAGCAAAATACCGATTTACAAAAAATGCAAACTCCCAAAATAGACATACACCCTTTAATACAAGAATTAAAAATAAATCCTTCGGAAGAAGTTTACGTTAAGACTGTTAATATAGATAAAAATTCTACTGGTAATCAATCATCCGCAATCAAATTGGTACATCTATTTGAAAGAATATGTTTTGCAGAATTCAATACTATACGAGCTAAGCAAGAGGAAATTGCTAGTTGGTATTCGTATAGAAAGTTCTTCGAAAAAAGACATAGTGAAATTTTACCTGAGATTCTGAAAAAATATAAAAATATTACAAAACAAAAAGTATATGAGTTAGCGAGTGGTCAAATTTATGATGAAATGTTATATTATCTTTCAGGTATCTCCCGAGTAAATTTGCGTAAAAAAACACAACTAACTAAACCTATATATAAGTTGTTTAATG